CTCTCTTCGCTTTTTTAAAACATCGGGTTTTAAGTTTTCCCCCCCCCTCCCTCCTCCCTTCCAAAATACAATGTATGGCAGGCAGTATAAAAAATATATTTCATAACCATAAGGCAAAAATACTGTAAGTTTTCAATATTTCAGTTTCCAGCAAGAACTGCGTTAAACATTTATTGCATGATTTTTCAAAGCTGGGGCTTTATCTTTGTGACAGTTGGAGTTAAAAAAAAACCCCTTCAATGCCTATATTCTTCTTTTTAACATCTTTCTGAATGCAAATAAAGATTAGCTAAATTTGTCCTCAGCGTATCTGTGAATGAGCCCAGTCTCATGTTGATTTTTAAAATAGTCTGCCTTCTTACCTCACTGTGACAGCAGTACAGTCACACTGCAGAGGAGAGGAATGTTTCACCTTGTCTCAGTGAAGCTCCTTCTGCGTGTGGAAGGAGCAGCTCTTACAGGCTGTGTGTCACTTCTGGTTTTCAAGCAAGAGTGTGATTATTACAATGGATTCAGAGAATGAATCAATCAAAATGAAAGCTTTTGTGATAGATCAAAAACCAGGTATTTTCACATGTCGTTCATCTATACTGGTCATTGATATCTGTGAAAGTTTTTTTGATTGCCTTAAATGAAGTGACTTGATGTTAATTCAGAATGGGGGGTATATTTTATAGCAAAACCTGTTACATTTAAACACAAATTGGATGCTCTTGACAGTCTTGGCAGACCATGGCAGTCTTGTTGCTGACATGGAAATACTGAATTCTTCTTTAGAAGTGGTCCCAGTGGAACAAATTTTATCCTGGGGAAGTGCTACTCTTGAGTAGCACAAGAATTCTCTTTACAGTCCAGAAAATAAGAGAATTAAAGCTAGAAGGAAACATGAAGATTTTTATGACTGTGTCATGGTGCTTAGATCCAACTGATGTTCATTTAGTACAGAGTCCAAAGACTAAAAGCTCAGTTCATTCAAATGACAGTTATTCAATAACAACAGTATATTTTCCTACCACATCATTTAGAAAATACAAGCTCTTAAAAATAGGGCTTTTAGAAGAAAAAACTTTGAACCACATCAGTGTTTGGCAGAACAAACTGTAATCCCCTGCAGTTCAAAAAGGAGTTTGGTTCTGCAAAGTTAAAAGAAAAGTCACGGAGGTTATAGAGTTTTTTGGTGTTGGTTTGCCTTCCGAATAAATTTCTTGATAATTTTTGAGTTAAAACATATTTTGCAAAGATTGTTGCTATATTGTGGGGTTATTTTTTTTGTAATAAATATGGTTAAACATAAGAAATGGTATATTTTGAGCCCTGTCTAAAAAGCACATGACATTATACCTAATCCTTCCCTCTCAGGTTACAATGCACCATACCTCTCTGTGTACAGTGAAAATGCAATTGATATCTTCGACGTGAACTCCATGGAGTGGATTCAGACTATTCCTCTCAAAAAGGTAACGTGCTTTGTCAATGCCAGTGAAAGGTCTAGACTCAGTATTGCTTTGCTACAGTCATACTGGGTTTTTTAAGCACGTTAGAAGCCATCATTAAAACTGTGGTTTAAACATAATTGAACTAAAGAAGAGCTACTGTAAAGAAACCGGTGCTTTTTGTTCAAAATAAAATACACAAAATGTGTTTTGCATATGGTTTCACTGGTTGAGATGAGTGGTAAATCTGGAGCATATACTGGTATTATTGTAGGGAGCAGTTTCTTGGTATTAATTGCATGTGGCTTCATTGGAACTGATTGCATCTGTGTTATTGCCAGAAGATGGTGGATGTTAAGATAATTAAACAGGCCTTCAAAACACTACCTTCTGCTGCTTGAGAACATTGTAGACAGATAGGGTTAGAACATTTCGGTTCAACCAGTACAAATATTAAAACCAGGATGGATGTCAGGTTTGGATCACTTTGATCAAAGGACAGTTTTTGAAAACCAACACCTCCTTGGTATTTAGGAGGTGTTTGCTCAGTTGTATTTGGAAAGAAAAAAGAAAAGTGTTTCTAGTTTAGACCGACTTCAACTTAGTGTCAAGATAATTCCTTTAACTGCCATTCCAGTGACATGGAACTGCAAGAAATTGTCCTTGTGGTCTTGTGTTAGTCATTCAGTCTCTGCATATCAATTTCCCACATGTCAGAGCAGGATATTATGGCAATGCTGTAAGGATAAATAATGCAAAAATCAAGGTGCTCAGCTCTTAACCATCTTAAGGAGAGAAGAATAATCTGGCCTTTTAGAGGAAATTTCCTCTGCTCTTTCTGATGTCCAAACTTTGAGTAATTAAGCAGTCGGAGCGTTTTTTTTCCTGCACAGCAGAATGTGATTTAGTACTTTGATCAATATTTGGCTCGACTGCCCATTTAATGAATGAAGTTACCTTCAACAAAGAAGAATTGGTGCATCTAGGAGACTCAAAAATGGCAATTTATTATGAAGAGTTTGTTTCTAACGCAATTTGCAGACTCGGGGGGTGAAATGCTTCTTTCATTTTGAAGTTGGAAATCACCAGTACAATCGGTATGTGTTCTTATCAAGTTGCAAAGCATAGCTGTGACATGATACTAACACAAAATAAAAGCACAGCATATTGCTTTGTGCATCTAATAGACAAAATGGAATTGTTATATAAAGTAGACTTCTAACAGAACTATTTATTTAAATGCTGTTAAGCCTGTGTCTTTAAGTGGCATTTTAGGCAAGTCTGTACTCGTTCTCCAAACAGAAGTTTAAAATCTAAAATTGTTTTTAACTCTGCTTGGTGGCTTTAATGACTCACAATTGTTATTCTTGAGAGCAGGCATGTGTTACTGGAGGTGGGAGACACTTCTCCCACCAGCCTGCAGTTCTTCTGTGGAGCAGACTTCGCTCTGGCCAATTACGCTCTTCTGTTCCCTGGTTGGTTTTATAACAGTGCTCCTTTTACAGAGTTTATAATGCACCTTGGAGCTTTCAGAATAAGATGCACTATATAAATGTGAGTTATTAGTATTACAAGGACTGATTTTCTTTGTTTCAGGTACGACCCTTGAATACAGAAGGATCACTGAACCTTTTGGGCCTGGAGACAGTTAGATTAATATATTTCAAAAACAAAATGGCAGGTAAGTAAAAAGAAGCAGATTTTCATCATGCAAATTTTTGTTTAGAAAGAACATTTTTCTTTGGCCTGGATCTGTGCATTGTAGAAAGTGATCTCTCAAATGTTTGTGTGCTTCTTAATTTGGGAGAAAGCCAAAGCTTATAGATTCCACAGTGATTGCAGTGATGTCTGCTAGGCAGCTACTCTGAACTGGGTTTTCCCCTTTTTAAATACTCAGTGAAGACTTGAATGAAGACTGGAAATAAAAAATAGAAGGACTAGACGCTCCCTCCAAATCTAGGATCACCTGCTAGAACACTATCTAAAAATGCCTGCACAATTAAAGGCTTTAATAGCAATCTTGGGAGTACTAGATTAAAATTAATATTATACTTAACCTATACAAACCTTTCCCAAGGATCAGGAAGTAATATAAAATTATATATTCATAACTTGCTATTAGGGCCACATACGATAATGTGCCAAAGTTTTAGCTTCAGAATTCTATTTTTGTTATGAGTCTTTTTGATCTATTTTTTTTTTGACCCCATTTCATAAGCTTGCTCCTGAGTAATTTCCTTAACCTTTTTGTTTAACCTCTTAGGTGGAGAGGGAATGTGCTTTATTTTAACAATCAAAAGCTATAATTTTTTAACGACTATTCTGAAAATAGTGGAAATAAACACTCTAGAAACATGTACTGCTGTTGGCAATGTTTCAGTGTTTATTTAAATTGCTAGCAAATTATTACAAAAGGAATGACAGTGGTAGAGAGGAGCAATATGGTGGACATACATATAAAGAAATGTCAAGTCTTAATAAATATTGAATATTAAAAGTAGAGTAGAAGAGTTAAAAAAAACCAAACCAACACCAGAGAGCATGGGATCAGAAGTGACTAAGGCTAATGCTTTGCTCCTGTACACTTCTCACTGCCTTTCAGAAAAGGTTGCCAAACAGTAAAGTGTCCTCCAGGTGTGTTTCCATAAAAGTCTGCAAGTTTTTTTTTTCCTGAAGCCACTTACCTAGTAAATCCCACACTTCATGAAATTTCCAGTTGATCTTAAGGAAAGAAGAGATTTCAGTTTCATACAAAAACAGTTTTGGCAGTGAGCAGTAGGTGCTGGGTATGTTCAAGCTTATTAAGCATAACTTTAGTCTCCATCTATATAAAACAAGACAGAGCAGTTGTAGCGTTCATTCGAAGTAACGCACCTATTGTACGATTGTCACTGACATTTCGTGTCTTTAATGAAGATGCCTTGGCCAGACCTACACGTGGGGAAAAAATCTTCCCTTTTCCCATAGTTATACCAAAATACATCAGTGTTCAAACTTTTCAAAAGGAGTAGTCTTTTTGGAGCAGGGAATGAATGAAAAAGAATCTCGCATTGAGTTTCCAGACAACTGTCAGAACAAGACTGTTCTAGTGATTTTCAGTGAGAACTGCCAATGAAAGTTTGAGATAGAGGACTGAGATCTTTTCCTGCTCAACCTAAATGTTTTGTTTGAAAGAATTAATCAGTGGTATTTTGAGAACATAGTCATGGAGCTTGTGTGTGATGAAGGGTTAAGTCTGTTGCTATGTAACAGAGTAGATGGTGACCAAGAAAAACCCATAAATCAAGGAGCATTTGTTCAGGTTTGATGGGAGATGGGTGGTGTCCAACACTAGCAAGAGCAGAGGGAGAAAATGTCTTTGAATTCAAATTCCATGAATACCTAATGAAGTATCCCACTGGATCATCATATTTATATTGATTTCAGAGGGCGATGAACTTGTAGTTCCTGAGACATCAGATAACAGCCGGAAGCAAATGGTTCGAAACATCAACAACAAGCGCCGCTATTCATTCAGAGTACCAGAGGAGGAGAGGATGCAGCAGAGGAGGTCGGTATTCAACATGTACTTGTCTTCTGTACATGCCTGTAGGCCCTGAAGGACAGTGACTGATGCCAATGTAGTACTTCATTTGTGGCCTTCTGGAATGCCCATTCAGATGTTTCTGTCTCTTCACTACCGCCTTAATCCTCAACGTTTAATTTCTGTTAATACCAGTTTGGATATTGATGTGCACTGGATACACAAGTATTCATTAGTTCAAATTAATTATGTGAAACAGCTGTAATTTGGAATGCATGTCTCCACATACTGTATATAGGTACATAGGTGTGCACATTTACTGTATATATAAAGATCCATAATAAACACTTTGCAAAAGGAGATTACGTTGCTAACTATGCGTATGGATTAATTACTTTCAGACTCTGGTTCTGCTTTTCTTTCTGAAGGCAATTCTACTCTCAGCAGTATTCCAAGGCATCTGCTTTTTGATTTATAGATTTAACTACATAAACATTCTATAAATCTCAGAAAACTCACCTCTTCAGAGGACATAGGACTTCAGGATGTGTTTCTAATAGAAGTCTTTAACAGATCACAAATACTTTCCTAAATGGCAATAAAAATAGGCCTGCACTACTCACAGTGTTCATAGAGGATGTTACTGACCATTTACTATCACTCAGTAAAGATGACCTGCTACTGTGCTAAGCTACACTCCAAGAACTGAGTCTTTCAGTTTTCTAACTTCCAACGTCTTCCACCGATGGCTGGCTCCCAGCTTTCTTTTCTTTTTGGCTCTAAGGAAAGTAACAGCTGTGTACAGTGGAGATAAATATTCCAGTTCTTGTCCTTGCCTTTATGAGCTGGTCGCAGTTTGGTCTTTTAAAATTTTATTTATTCTGGGTTCTGAAATGCATCCTTGCCATTTTGAAGAGCTTTTAATTCTGACTACAGACTGAGAAAGGTACTGCAGTATTATTTTAATTCTATTTTCATATCTTGTACTTCATTTTCATCTCCACTTTGTAATACATCACAAATGAGTTCTGCTTTTATTCATCTTACAGAGCTTTTTATCAGCTCATAGTGGTTGTATATTCTTTGAATGTTAGTAACTACTGGGTGTGGGCTATTAGCCTGCAAACAGCATTCTTTTGTTTTGGCCCCTTGTCCTCTCTTCAAGCTGGAAGCTTGTCCATGCTAGTGCTGATAGCGAGGGTTTATCACTGTTAGCATGGTTAAATAGTTAATTTCCATTTAAAAGTAGCTGATAATCAAAGCTGTACATGTTTTATAAATGTCCATCCTCGCCTGGAAGGAAATACCTAAACAAAAGTATTTTCTCTTCCAGGGAGATGCTACGTGATCCAGAAATGAGAAATAAATTAATTTCTAACCCAACTAATTTTAACCACATAGCACATATGGGTCCAGGAGATGGTATACAGATTCTCAAAGACCTTCCAATGGTAAGTACAAAAGTACATGTGAGAGTGAGTGACTGCAATTCAGGCTGCAAATAAGTGAGAGAAAGAAAACTACAATTTTAAAAGTATATTCAGGGTGTTGATGGATTTCATATCAGGAGCAGTGTAACTAGGGAAATGGAGCTGAACATGCTCTGTTGTATGTGACAAAATTTAAACAAAGAGGATGACACTTAAGCATCAAGGGTAAGAGGAGAAGTGGCCAATGCCTCCTGGGTTTTAAGGCAGGTTGGCCTCTCAGTGTTGATGATAATTTTGATGACCCCTATGAAGGGACAAAATTAAGAGGATTTGGGCCTGTGTTCTGTGTGGGAATGGAAAGAGAAAGTTCTTTCTCCATGAACTGTATTACTGTAAGTTCAATTCCTTTCTTCTCTTCCCATATTTAGCTCCAATTTAGCCTCTCTCTTTACAGCCTCTTTTCCTCAGCAGTGAAATTGTAGCAGTTCAACAGTGCGTGGTGCCCAGATAAGATGCTATTTTTCACTTTCTCTCCAAATTAACTAGTCTCAGTGAAACAGAGCTTCTTACATAAAAATTAACCTTTTAAGTTGAAAAATGGAAAAAGAAAACATAATAGCACACACACATGTTTGTTTCCACGAAACCTTATGTAGGAAATCCTCACCTGGAAGTTACTGAAATTTTTGATGAGCTAAAGACCAATTAATATTTTGTTCATAGGAGAGTATCATACTGCTTGCTTCAAGCTACCTTGAGCGTCTTAGAATCATGGAATCATTTAGATTGGAAAAGACCTTCTAAGATCAAGTCCAACCGTTAACCTGGCACTGTCCCGTCCAACCACTAAACCATGTCCCTAAGCACCACATCTACCCCTCTTTTAAATACCCCTGGGGATGGTGACTCCACCGCTTCCCTGGGCAGCATGTTTCAGTGCTTAATAACCCTTTCGGTGAAGAAATTTTTCCTAATATCCAATCTAAACCTCCCTGGCACAATTTGAGGCCGTTTCCTCTTGTCTTGTCACTTGTTACTTGGGAGAAGAGACCAACACCCACCTGGCTACAACCTCCTTTCAGGTAGTTGTAGAGTCTTGTTTGTGTGTTCTGTATTGCTTTCTAAACTTTTCCACAGTGACACAGATGTGAGTCAGAAGATGCAAATTAGCACTGTAAGAAAGATCAAATGATATGATATCAAACAGATTATACAAGTACCACCATAAGACATAGGCATTAGTACACAAGTGCTGTCTAAAATGATCATCATTATTACTTGGAGGTTGTGCAGAATGCAGGAAGTAGATGCTGAAATTGGGATTTTCAGATGCTGAAAAGCCCAAAGGAAACAACAATAAGACTGGAAAATAAAGTGTGCTGTGCAGTTGCACTAGTTGAGAAGCTTATGAGCATAACCTCTGGTCTCCAGATACTCATTTTACCTCACTTTTGCAGCAAATGGTACTTTTCTGTTACACTTCACCATGAAGTCTGCACATTGTACGTGAGCCCTTCTGGCACTGTGTTTTCCTTAGATGAGAATGTACAAGGAAAGGAAAGAATTTACTTTAAATCTCATACTAGAGACACTCAGAAATCTCTCAATAACAAATATATTCAGTGCAAATAAGCAACAAACATTGTGTGTATGTTTATAAGTGAATAAATATAAATAATGAAGGAGCTGGTTCTAGAAAACACATAACAAATCTAAGGGAGGTTGGCAGGTAGTGTTTATCTTACCTGGATGTGAGTATAGATGTGTAATGTTAAACAGCGAATGATAATTTGCTTCAGGATGTAGATCAGAACCTTTTTTTCACTTTTCCATTTCTGATGGGTTCTTTAAAATAATTCTGGCTCTTCCCAAGCAGAGAAAATAAAGGTAGAGCAAAAGACATCCCATTTCACACCATCAGTAGCTGAAAGTTCATGGGAATCAAAAGCTGCAAGGACTCTTAATCAAGCCCCAAATCTGGCAAGTGTAAAATGAGGAATGATTTTATCTATAAAAGGGGATTTTCTAGACTTACAGGGATTAATATTTCTTCAGCTATGTCATCTCTAAATGGCTTTTTGCTTTAAATTCATTCTAATTACGCAAGCCTTGTATTGCTCACAGGTCATATTTGAAGTTAGGACTGGTACTTTGCTTCTTACCAATCAGTATGAGGTTTTGAAAGAAACTCATGAGTCACTTTCCACGCTTAAATGCGATGAGAAGACATTAGAAAATGTGTACAATATAGAATTGATTTCTGCCCTTGTTCCACTGTTGCAGCTTCTTTTCTTTTTAAAGTTACTATTAAAAACTCCTTTTTGCAAGTAGGTATCAATCTTAATGCTGGGAGATGTCACTGCAGATAAAGCAAATTCGACAGGTATTTTTCCAGCACCTCCTTGCAATATCGTATTGTATTTGTATTCCTAACTTAATGGATACAGAATTGCATCAGTCATTAGACTTGAAAGTGTGTGAATTTGAAAGTGTAACTTGAGATTAGAAAATAAATGTTCTGTCCAGAGCTACTTCAGTCCAGGCAGCTTTTTCTTTTCCAGCAGCTTCCTGTAAGGTATTTGGCTGGACTAAGTTTTCATTTAGACTGTTCCAAACTACCTACTTTGTTTCTCAGGCACAAAAGTAGAAGAAAAGGACTTGTGCATACATATGATGTTATGTATTGAGTCTAATGTTTTATTTGAAAGATATATTGAGAATTAAAAGAGAGGATGGAAATAGAAAGGACATTCCCTGGAGAATGAGTACACAAGGTAAAGAATACTCATCCAACCCTGTGTACAGTTCATCTGTGTGGCAGTTTCTTTACAAAGACCTGGAATTATTTCACTCGATTCATACCGTGTTCCAAAAACGTGAATAGATTTTATTATTTTTTTCTTTTTTTGTGCGTCTTAGCATGTGTGATGATTTTGCGGCTGGAACATCATCTTCATATTTCTAAATAGATTAGTATGTTGCAGAAGTAGTAGTATTTATCTTTAAAGAACTATGGGAAATACTGCAACATTTTGCTTTGTTGGGTGCCTGTTTCTGTTTATGAAAGTGGATGATAAAATATATTTTTGTATTTAAAGAGGGCTACCACTAGGGGGAACAAGTAGGGCAAGGGGAATAGTTTTCTCAAATTCTCTTCACCCAACTGTTTTAGGTGATATAGATTCTTTTTTTATGAGACACTGGAATGCAGAAAGTGTATGAAAGAATGGAGTGGGCCTTTTTATTTGTAGTTTCTTCCAACTTATTTGAGCAATTTCAAATTTGGCTGGATCTACTGAATCAAATTTGTTCATCCAGCATGACCTTTCACTGAAGTCAGTGTAGTGCTATGTAGGCAGGAGGGTCCTTATTACTAAGTAGGTTTTAATAGAGAATAGATATTTTGATCTCTGTGTTGGATGAGATTGTCACAAACTAAATAGCCAGCTCAGCCTAGCTTTTATCTAGCATCCATAGATGAACTTTACAAAGCAAGTGACAATTTTTGCATGTATGTATGTATTTATTTGTGAATATATACATATTCACTTTATATATGCATTGTGAATCCAATCAAAAAATATCTCTGCAGTCCCACTAACCTGCCTCTGCTGCCTTTTTCAGAGGAAATGCCAAAAATTGAACAAAGTGCAGAATTAGAACTGGTAGCGATGACCCTTGCATGGCAGGGCTGCGGTATGTCAGTGGCGGGACAGGACATATGCTCGTGGTGCCTTAACCAATGGCATAACTGCCTGGTGGATGCAGAGCCAACAGGAGCTTGCTTGCTCTCTGCTCACTACTGTTTTTAATAATGTCTTTTAAAAGACCAACTTTGGAGAGTTCAATTTGTATTGTAAATGTGCAAAATGAAAATTGGATAAATGGAATGTTTTAAACTCAGGCTACTTGATATGTTGTATCAGATGCCAACATACGTGCAACATACCTGTCTGCATGTGATTGCCCTTGCTGATGCAGCCACACAGGGAGGAAAGATGCTTTCTCTGTGCGTTGTTTCCAGGGTCTTGGTATGCAATAGTCACATGACATGAACAGTGAGATACGTTTATGGCAAATTGCGGTCTGTTAACCTAGTCCCACATTGTCCTCTCCATGAACAGACACCCTTGACTTCAGTGTATTCCTGTGTTTGGGCAGAAATGAACGTGCCCAAGGCCCAGAGTGAGATAAGATTTAAGAGAGAAAATATTAGAGGTTATCAGGCAATTGTAAATTTGCATCCTTCTTTTCTTCACGGCAAGCAATACTTAGGGGTCTGGCTTTGACAAGCAAGTTTGTGGGCTACAACACAACAGAAACTGGAAGTTCTTGTTGGCTATTAACAGAGCCGTAATCACTACGTATTTGTGTATGATTAATGTAGATACTAGATCTGGGTCATTGTCTTGTTTTGTACAATGTAGAATCGTTCCTGTTAGTATATCCCCAAACTTATTTATTTACATGTTTTTCTTCCCTAGCAGCCTGTCACCAATTAACTGGCCGTACAGTCTGGCCTCCCTTCTGCCCTCTTGTCCCTTGAAGCCACTTTATCGTGGATGCTCCTTTGTAGTGAAGATCTGAAATCTGGAACTGCACTTACTGCAGCACAGACCACCTCTCTGTGTACATCAGATGTACAGGATTGATTTTGCTTTCATATTCTGCATGCCTAAGTATTTTACATACCAAAGCTAGTCTTGACTGCCATTATATTTGAACATTATGCTTCAGTTTGACCTCATTATACATGAGCCATTACACTTTCATTCTAGATGACGTGTGAAGCTTTGCTTGTTTCAAATGAGAAACTTTTAGAGTAAATGAATATTTACCCATATTTGGTATTCTTTAAAGAAAGTGGGAGCCCCATGCATGCATCTAATGGTGGAGTCCATGGAGAAAGTTCCATGGAAGATAATTTTTAAAATGTTGCCTTATCGTGGCTTTCTCACATTCATGAATGCTGGCTAAATATTTTCATATTCTGCAGTTGGCCTACCCTCTGCTTTTTAGCTTGTGATTTTAGACACTCCCTTTTCTCCCTTATTGGCTTTTAGGAACATAGCTGGCTTTGCTGCCAGTTCTCTGTTGTGAGCAGATAACTCAGCAAAGTCTGCTTTCCTGGACCATTCTTGGGATGGTGGCTTCTCGTACTGATATTTAGATGCTGCTAAACTTACTAATAACAATTTAATATATCTCATATGCCATAATGTGATAATTGATGTTTCGGTTAACATGCAAAGCCTCATAATAACTGTGTGTTTAAAAAAAAAAAAAGTTGGATTTTACCAGCTGAAATGAAGAGAACAGTAACAATAATGTTTGATAATATGTATTGGGATGTGACGTAATGTTCTTCCAGACTTTAATACTTTCCACATACAAAAAGTAGTGCCTTAGGTTTAGTGGAGGGGTAAGCTGTATTTTTACCATATTTTATTTTTTTAAGTCCTAACATTTCTAATGTTACTCAGATCTGTTTGTTTTAAGGTGATGAAATCAGTTGGACAAGGGGAGGAGAAAATTAGAAGTTAGAAATTAGAGAAGGTGTTCTGATTTGCTGGTGGCCGTTGGGCAAACCATCCCCTTGCAGGCTGACCTGCT